TATCAGTTGACGGAACAGCTGATATGGACTGGTTTTCTGATCTGTAGGGATTGAATTTGTAGAGTTTACACTGTGCATAATTTATTTTCTGTTATTCTTTTAAAAGTTTAAAGGTTGTGGTAGAAAACACTGGGTTGCCAGCTTAAGCCCACAGAAAGGAAGTCAGAAGCATTAAGCGCTAAGGCATACTTGTTTTAAACTTTGGTTATCACTGACAATCAGAACACAAAATAAAAAGACACTGGAATTATCATTTAAATAGTTTTTAACTTTAATTTACTTTTCTAATTAATTTCAGTTTTCTCCATTCTCAGGCTGCCCACTTTATTTTTCATCTTCTATTTTCTGTCCTCTCATCTTTACTTGTTTTTTTTTTTACTTATATTGCTCTGCTCCTATTCAATCACATACTATTTATTTCAAAAATCATGCTCATCCATAAACAACCCTGAAGTTTCACAAAAAATCTAAAGAAGCTCTCCTGCTCTTTTATACACTGTATTCTGCAGTGCTTCCCATATCGACACTTTATAGTAATTTCAATGGCAACTTAGACACACTGTACAATTTACTCGTCACACGCTCACTGCAGGTTTCCCCAGGGATTATATTAAGTTAACAGTATGACTAGATAGTCTGCTGTCTTTGACTATATGTGGGTGTTGCAGTGTGTGTTTGTGAGGAGAATAAATTACAAAGCACACACACTGAGGCTGCACAGAAGAAGAGACTCAACTCAATAGAAATAAAAAACTGATTCAAGAACTTCGGTTTACAAATCCCTAGAGGCCCATTATATCCTACAGTGTAATGCAATACTTTACACTCTCTGATCAATCATCAGAATTACATATCTTCAGTCTGCACATTGGTCCCAGCAGGAGACTGCTTACGTATGTCTCTCTTGGCTAACTTTTTAAAAAAAATCAAAGAGCATTAACTTTATAAGTATTCAATATTTAGGAGGAGCTTCTGAAATTGGTTTTGTTTATTTTTTTTGTTTGCACTTGAGACATTATAACTTTATATTACAATTGCATTACAACATTATAGGGAAAATAACAATAACTGATTATAAAGATATTTTTTGATATTAATATTGATAATTATATTTATCTCTATTTGCTATCATGACTCTGGGCAAAGAATAAATGAGTCATGAATGATAACAGACATGAGTGAGAAATGACATGGGGTGGAGGTGGGTCGCAGATTGGCTTGTAGAGGAAGTTGCAACCGTATGCAGGCCAAAGAAAGCTTAATATTGTGTTCGATATATATATATAAATCTAAAGCATCTTGAGGCAACTACTGTTGTGATCTGGCGCTACATAAAATTAAAATTGAAATGAAGTGATAAGGTCTATCTGCATTAAAAAAGTATAGACAATGCTGTATATGATTGATCACATAATTATATTTTGTATGAACTACTTTTCAATACTGACATCGGAGAAGAAGTCCAAATAGAATAAAGTGATTTTCACTGCAGTCCTTTATAAGTCTTCCTAAGTCTCATTTGGAGGACTTAAATGGTTGTCTCCCAAAATTTGCCTTCAGAAAGGGCAACTTATACAAAAATCTATGCCATTAAGACAGTTACAAAAATAAGTGTGTCCATGCCAGCTTTGTTCCTCTTTATATTATTAAAATAAAAAGGCAGATCTGCCCAAGACCTAACATAGCAGAAAGGTTTGAACTGCACACTTCAATGCTGGAAAGATCAGATGATCCAATCCAAGATCAAATCAATTTGTTTAAAAAAAAACTACTCAATGATGAGGAATGCAATTAATTCATGATGTCTGAGGGCTTCTCACCATGTTACAGATGTACTATAGACAAATTTTCAATGCAGCCTCTTTAAAGCTACACTAATCACTATTTTTTATATAAGCAGTTTTTCAAATGACTTAAACAATTCAAATCAATTATGTTTTATTGATTGTTTTTGACTTATTGAGTTGAGCAGAGACTTGCAAATGGGGCAAGGGACAACTGAGACAATATATACAAAAATTGGTGACAAAGAAAACACAGAAGGAGGGAACGAGAAACATGGAGGAGGAGTGCGAGGGACATGGATGGAAAAAGATTTAAACACCAATGACTTGACACAGACTCTTGTCACATACAGGCAACACAGGGGAGAGACCAAGACACAAGAGTAACCTAACAAGAAACTAAACTGTGAATACAAGGGAACTCAAGAACTTGGAAAGAATAAACTCAAGATTGACTAGTGAGACTTGAATATCATCATCAAAATATTAAACAATCAACAAAACACAGGAAACTCAAAATACTGGTACGACGACCTAAAACAATGACAGTATATTAAGTGGTAATAAGTAGGAGTAACAGTTGGTATCAGTGCTATATACTGTCAACAATCAGCAATGACCTGGAAAATACTCTAATACTAAAATAATTTTAAAACTTGTAAACATTTTTTAAAAATGCCTAGAAAAGGTTCTAGTGTATTTTCTTTCTTAAAACAAACAAACTGCTCACAGAAATTACATTTTGTCATGCAAAACAATTCATTGCATATTGAAATATTGGGGCGATCGTGGCTCAAGAGTTGGGAGTTCGCCTTGTAATCGGAAGGTTGCCGGTTCGAGCCCCGGCTTGGACAGTCTCGGTCGTTGTGTCCTTGGGCAAGACACTTCACCTACCGCCTACTGGCGCCAGAAGGGCCGATGGCGCGATATGGCAGCCTCGCTTCTGTCAGTCTGCCCCAGGGCAGCTGTGGCTACAACTGTAGCTGCCTCCACCAGTGTGTGAATGTGTGTGTGAATGGGTGGATGACTGGGTGTGTAAAGCGCTTTGGGGTCCCTAGGGGGGACTAGTAAAAGCGCTATACAAATACAGGCCATTTACCATTCCAAATGAAGGTAAAATTTATTAAATGAACATCACATTCTTTATGGGATGATGTGAAACATCAGCTAAGAACGTGAACTCACAAAACACAGATCGTCAGTCAGATCATAGACTTCTATAGAATCAGTCATAGACATAGTCTAGACATAATGCAAGTTTAAGGTATATTCATTTATTTTCCACATATAAGATTATATTAACAGATATTAATAAATATATTTAATTTTCAGTATAGTGTTGAAAAAGTACTTCAAAAAAAGTGTTTGGTGGTGTTGTCATAGGGAACATGCAATGCGTAAAAAGACATAAGTGCAATATCCTTCTTTGACAAGTGCAATATCCTTTCATTGTGTTTCGCAGAACTGTATTTGTGTGTATTTATACTTTTACATTTACTATTTTATTTTATTATACTCTCAATTTTATTATCTTGTTATTTTATTCTGTGGAATGCTGAGTGAAAGCATGTAAGAATGTATGCATGCTAGCTCTGCTCCAGTTTCGCTGTACAATGCCTAAGTATAGTGATAATAAAGGAATTTAATTTTTATAATCAGGAAGAGGTGCTAGGCTAAAACTAAACCCTTGTTCTAGTGTTAATCCTACACACACTCAATACTTCCCAAGGGCTTCATGGTTTGCACTTGGTCAGCAACTATCCTTTAACACCGCTGTCACAAGCTCACTGACCTAATAAATCAAAAATCTGATATTTCTATGGATTTTTCTTCTTCTTCTTCTTCTTCTTCTTCTTCTTCTTCTTCTTCTTCATGTCCTTCAATGAGGGAAGACTAAGTACTACTTTGGCTCATTACCCTACCTTCAGGTGGAAAAAAGGGTGAAGACCCACCTGAGTAACTTCATTAGATACCTCTGTAACGTAATACATATGTTTGGATTTTCTTAACATAGTGTGATAGTATTTAATTATTAACAATTTTGTTAAGAATTTTAGTCTTTTTTGATTGATTAAAGTAAAAATCTTATATAGGAAAGTAAAAATATTAGGAGAAAACTAGTTACTGTAATGTATGAAATTGAAAGCAGTGAAATATTGTGAGACAGCAAAACAGTGGCATACCCTGAGACCAAAAAAACAACATCAATGTGAAGTGCCAATTGATAGAAGTTCTTGCATTTTTTTTTAACGCAACTTAGTAATCAATCTTGCTAGCATTAGATAACAACATAACAAATACCTTGCCTAAAGGTGTTTGCTTCTTCACCAAAAAAACAAAAGTGAGAGTCATTGCAAAATAGTTTGAACAGCCCCCCCGTGCGCAGGCTGCACGATGCTAATGCGTTGATGCCAAAGTGCTAACACTGAGGCTTCAAGATGTGTTGTCTAAGCTGGCTATGTTCGTCATTTATGTACAGTGTTGTATTTGTTTTTTCTTTCATTAGAGCTCTTTGAGGGAGCACAAAGTCAGCCATTTGTATTGTTTTAACTCAAAGGTATGACTTTAAGTGTCCAGAATCTGCTGGAGTAAGGCAGCAGCAGAGATTCACATGAGAATGTGTTCATTTAAATGCATTCTGTTACTTTATAGCAACCCCCCAAAATTATGACTGGTGGTACATCAACACAGCCAAGACAATTACCTGAGAGCTTTTAATAATTTTGTTGAGGACGCCTTCAGTGGAAATCTGAATTTAAACTCTGTCTTTTCATCAGCAGCTTTAGTAGCAAGGTGTCTGTGCCAGAGTGAATGTACTGGAGAGTTGATATTTGAAAACAGTCCATAACTGAGGAAATCCATACTTCCATCATATTCTATCATATTGGGCTGGCTGTAGCTCAGGAGGTAGAGCAGATCATCTACTGATCGGAAGGTTGGTGGTTTGATCCCTGGCTCCCTCTAGACTGCATGCCAAATATCCTTGGGTAAGATATTAGTCACTCTCCAATGCATCCATTGGAGTACGAATGTGTGTTATTTTAGATAGTAATACAAACATATTTACTATTTACATGGAAATCAGCTGTGCTGTTGTCTTGACTTGTTTTTTTTTCTTGACTTTCAGCTACCTGAACTAAGCCTGAACAATATATATTGGCATCATAATAATAAAGCCATTAATCATAATGTCTCTTGTCTTGTGACTCTTGTCAGAGGTGTCTCGAAACGACTCTTGTCCAGATCTGCCTGAGATCCAGAATGGCTGGAAGACAACATCCCATGTTGCACTTGTGCGAGGGGCTTGTATAACCTACCAGTGCGATCCTGGTTATGACCTGGTGGGGCGAGAGACTCTCACCTGTCAGCTGGATCTTTCCTGGAGCTCACAACCCCCATTCTGTGAAAAAAGTCAGTTCTGCTTGTTTTATTAGTTTGTTCAATAACCTTTATCTGTTCTTCATGGAATTAATTAATTTTAGGTATTTCCTTGGTCCCTACAGGAGGAATTTTTAATATAGTTGTTGACAAATTGGCCATTCATCTACTGCCATGGGCCTCATTTATCAGTGTGATTCATCAATATTATCATGTGCATGCGCATGAAATTGTCCAAAATGTCTTGGTAAGCTGGAACTAAGGGGCTAAGCCCAACTACTTAAAAACAACTCCACACTATGGTCCCCCTCTACCAAACTATACACTTTGCACAGTGCAGCCAGAGAAGTACCCCTCTCCTGGCAACTGCCAAACCCATACTCATCCATCAGATTGCCAGATGAAGAAGTGTAAGTTGTTGCTCCAGAGAAGGCCTTTCCACTGCTCTAGGGTCCAGTAGCGGTGTGCCTTACACCACCGCAACTGACGCTTTGCATTCCATTTGCGAGGGTAGGTGTGTCTCTGACAGCATCACCACCATCTCGCCGCTGCTGTACTCCCTCTATACTTCTGACTGTGTGGCCACTCATGGCTCCAATACCATTGTGAAGTTCGCTGATGACGCAGTGGTGTTGTGCCTCATCTCCAACAACGATGAGGTGGCCTTTATGGACAAGGTGACGAACCTGGCATTGTGGTGTCAGGACAGCCACCTTCTGGTCTTGCAAACCAAGGAGCTGGTGGTGGACTTAGGAAGGAGTAAACACCGAGTCTACAAGCCCCTTATCATTAACAGCACTCTAGTGGAGAGGGTGTTGTCCTTCAAGTATCTCAGTGTCCACATCTCCTCAGACCCGACATGGTCTGCTCACATTAAGGTCCAGTCCAAAAAGGCTAGGCAGTGACTGTACCATTTCCAACAACTGAGGAAGTTCGGGGTCTTTCCAGTGATCCTCAGGACTTTCTATTCAGGCACTGTGGAGAGCATCCTCACACATATGTAACTTTTACTGCTTGGAACCATATTTGTGCATTTTGGATCTCAAACAAGTTACCTTGAATTAAAAAAATTAGCCCTAGCAAGTACATTCATGTAGATTGTACCTACTCTGCTCTTGGGCATATAATAGTGTCTATCTCTGGGCTTATTTTATTTTTTATCAAAATGTATTATTGTTTTTATAAAATTATATCTCTTATCATTCATCACAGTCTCTGCTGTCTTTTTTCTCAGTCATGTACTGTTCAGATCCTGGCCATGTTGAGCATGCTACCAGAACCCTGTCTGACCCGAAACTCCTAGTGGGGACAACCATTCAGTATAGCTGCAACACAGGCTTCATCCTACAGGGCGGCGCCACTATCACATGCTATGGACGTGAGCCAGGAACGCCTGTGTGGACATCTCATCTGCCTCACTGTGTCTGTGGGTATTTGAAAGAATGTTTCCAGACATAAAAGAAGACATGGGAGGTTAGTCAGTTCTCAACCGGCAATTGCTGATATGTATTTTAGCAAACTGGTGAGCTGAAGGGTCCCGTAGTTTACTGGTAGTATGTTAGCATCAGAATTTCAGAAGCCTATCATCTGGATAGGGAGTCGCATATGACACTTAACTGAAGATAAGAGGCTCTTTTCCCTGCTTTTTTCAGTCCAAAATGAGTGGGTTTGTGTGATTTCTTGCAAAAAAGGCCTGGCTCTCTCTTTCCTCTGCTGACAAAGATCACAGCGTCTCTGCATGCCAGAGACGATGCTTCATCACTCGCATTTTATCTCAGCAGTCATGATATTTGCGTGTGTGTGTGTGTGTTTTCAGGGTTATTAATGTTTGGGTGAAGTGTTTGATATGTAAATGTGATGCTAATGCACCATAGCAATCAACCCTCAGCCACCTGGAGGTGGAGGCGGAGATTATCCGTGAGTCATGTCACCTCAGCCAGGGTTTGTCAAAACCTGTCAGTCGAGCTATGACGCAGAAACCTCTGATTTGTGCTGAGAAACTCAATGAGTTCCATGCAGTTTCTTTTTCTTTCTTCTTTTTATCTAGCTGAGGATTCTGTTTCCTGTGAAAACCCCGGTCTCCCTGACAACGGCTACCAGATCCTGTCCAAGAGACTTTACCTGCCTGGCGAGTCCCTAACCTTTGTCTGTTACCAAGGTTACGAGCTCATAGGAGAGGTTGCAATTAAATGCATCCTTGGAAATCCTTCTTTTTGGAGCGGCCCACTTCCACTCTGCAGGGGTGAGATTTTTGAAGGACATTTTATTTTAATATACGTTATTATGGAAATTTTTTAGAGGCTTTGGATTATTCTGATTCACAAAAACACTAACTCCTGTAAAGTTGCGATCAGACGTTTATATCCACCCATCATGCACATGAATGTAATGGAAATATGGGATTT